TTACCACTAAAAACTCCAAGAAAACTGCCAACATGAAGCTTCCTTCCAAGCTCAAGTGAATCTCCAAGTGGTTTTGTGGTTAGTTGCAAAGTTAGAGGTGATTTGGAGATGATGAAGAGCTTTGGTTTCGTCCTCCTATGGTGATGCATGGCTGTTATGAGAGAAAAAGAGGGAGAGTTTTGCTGATAATGAAGCTTACTTGAGAAGCTTAAAGTGTGTGGCCAAAAGTGCTCCAAAAGTCAACTAGGAATAGTGCGCGTACGCGCGCGTTTCGTGCTCGATTCCTCTCGGGTTTGTTTCACTTGTGCACTAAACCTCCAATGCACTTCTATTTATACTATTATTATTCACCCTTAATAGTCCAATAATAAGAGTCTAAAGTCCCTCTATTTATCACACGCGCGAAAACGCGTACTTCCTATTTATGCGCGATAAGGTGAAATTTCTAAGAAATTCTTATAACAATAGTATCACTAACTAATATTTGAGTATTTAAACATAAAAATAACTATTTTAAAACTAATGTATGAGTCTTCAATCTCCAAGGTCACTGCACTCTCAAATCGGTTATTGTCTCCAAACATGTATTCACTAAATCTCAATAAACGAGTTTCCAAAAATTAAATTTATTAATGGAACATTTTAAAAATATTTGCAAATCATAGTTCCATGTAATTGGGTCTAAAAAGGTTAAAATAAAATATTCAAAACAAATGGGTAAATAAATATTTAAATAAACCAATAATATTCGATAAAAATAAGAAAATTTTCGGGTCCTCACATCCTCCCCTCCTTATAAAGAATTTCGACGAAATTCACACTTAATATAATATCATACCCCTTACTTGCCAGGTCCACTAGATCTAGGGGTGTTAACGAATCGAGCTGCTCGCGAATAGTTCGTGAGCAGTTCGATCAAAAGATCGGCTCGAGTTCGGTAAAATCGAGCTCGAGTTGAGCTCGAACTATTCGAATATTTCAACGAAACGAATTCGAGCCTAAAAATGCTATGCTCGATAAGTTCGCGAGCTTTTCGAGCTTAAGGTATATTTAAATATATATAATTTTATATTTGTAAAATTACTTAGATATATATAGTTGTAAGTTTAATTACATGTTTTACCTATTAAAATTCAAAATACAATAGGGGTATTCTTTTCTTTTCAGATAATTCCCAAAAAAAAAAAAATTCACATATCAAACTCTGATTAGGTCAAGAGCTTCAAGCCTTCAATTCAATCTTGTCCGCCTCCGCCGTCTTCTTTCTTCTTCCTCACCTCAGTTCAGTGCACGGCTCTGTCCCTAATTACCTATTCCTTGATCCCCATTCCTCACCAGTCACCTCAATCCCTAATTCCAATTTCAAATCAAACCCATTTGGGTTGCTAATTCCAGCAGTCCAGCTCCAGCCATTTCATTTCGTTGTTGCTACTCCACCCATTTGGATTGTGTAGTCGGTGCAGGCGTGCGGCGACCGGGAGCTTGGAATCCTTGGATCTTGAAGCAAGTGCAGTCGTGTAGCAGGTAAGATGTTATCCTTAAGTAATTTGGCTGGTCCCAGCTTCGTCGCAACCTTGTCATTTTCATTTTATAAGGTTTGGCTTAAATTCTGTGATCTCTGGAGTATGATTCACTGAATAAATCTCAGCAAAATAGGTGCATAACTAGGGTTCATAATCTGTATGCTTCCGGGAAAAGATATTTACTAAATTAGAGCAGCAATGGTTTTCTTTACTAAATTAGCAGTAGCAACATGCCCAGAAATGGTTTTCTGCCGCAAAACAGTAGCAATGAAGGCGATTACGACACAAATACTGGTAGTAGTTGGAAAAAAAAAGAAGAAAGAAAAAGAAAACCACTGACAATTTTGCTTCCTGTTTGCGAAGGGAAGAGCTCGAGTTTTAAATGTTTTTACGAGCTTTAAATTTAAATGTTTTTGTCAGCTTTGCTTTGTCTCTTCCATTGTCTAGTTAGATTTGCTTCTTTACTACTCCACCCTAGAGGCTCAGAGTTAGTAAAGACTCTGCATCCAGAATGGGAAACCTGGTAGAAGTCAACAGATGGTAACGAAGGGGAAAGTTTTGAATTTCCCGTACTCCTATATAATCAGCAATTGATATGATTCCTTTAAACCTCTATTTAAACTTGTTCAAAGTTTTGGGAAGGTTGTCCTGTTCTTTTGTAGTTTATGTGAAAACGGTTGAGTGCGCGAGTGTGTTTGTGACTGGCAGCATTCTGAGATAAAAGTAGTAGCGAATTTAAGACTATTGCCATGACAGAGTGTAGGAAAAACTTTGTTCTCTTTTCCTGGGTATTGAGAATTAATGGAGGTCCAGTAAAATGGGATGGTATCCGTAATATTTTAACCCAATCACATGTTTTATATTATTCAAACTTTTGCTAAAGTGAGAGTTCAGATTCCACAACCAATTTTTACTTCATACCTCCATCATTTCTTTCTTTAATACATTTCTTGAAGAAATTTATTCGCTGTTAAAAGGCTTCTATTAACTGATATAAAAGGAAAAATCATTCAATTAGCTTTTAATCTCTGGTCATTGAAGTTAGTTTTAGTTCGTTCTAGTTTTTATTCTCAATCGTTATTAACTCTTGGAAGAAAAAGAAAAGCAACCAACTTAAAATTATCTATGACTGGTGCAATGTCTGCTATAGTTCTTTTTTAACCCTCTTGATTATTTTCAGGTTTGTTAAGTATAATTTTTTTTATCTTCATTATTAAATTTCCTTGTATTATAGGAATTAGCTGTATTAGTTAAAAATGTTCAACTACTGGGATGAACTCGTTATGGAATTCGCTGTACTAGTTAGAATTGGCTCTTTTTTCTCATCCAAGTGCAGCTTTTGATTCGAAAATCAGCTAAAATTTCTTTTATTTTCAGGTCAGCCCATAACCACACTTGAATCTTATTCCAATCGAGTCATGTCAGGGGCAGATTCCTCTAATGCAAATAGTGCAGAACAAGATTTGGTAAGAATGGAAACCGATCCTCAAAACTCACACAATATTAGTGAGGAAGGTAATGAAACAATAAATCAAGAGACTGACGATGACCAACAAGCTGAAAATAGAGAAGATGGAGATGGAGAAAATGGGCAGCCAGGTACGGAGGAAGCTGAAGAAGGCAAAAGAGCAAAAAAGTCTAAAGCTTGGGATGACTTTCGAGAGGTTGTAGTAAAAGGAAAAAGAAAGGCAGAATGTATTCACTGCCTAACTAAATTAGCCCGGACTACAACAGGACCACTTCCAGTATCATAAGACATAGCAATACTTGTGTGAAGAGAAAGATTCATTTAAGACAATTATCATAAGCTTCTCAACAATCAATGTTCAATTTTCCACAGGCTGATGCAGCTATATTTCCTATTCCTCCACTACATTCTGGGAAGTTTGAGATGGAGATGATGAGGGAGGCAGCTGCTAAATGGGTGTTGATGCATGAACACCCATTTAGCATTGTAGAGGAAGAGGGATTCAACTACATGCAGAAACTAGGGATGCCGGAGTGGAAAAAATTTACTCGTAATACTTGTAGAGCTGATTGTGTGAAGATTTATGAAGCTGAGAAAAAGATATTGAAAAATCAGTTGAAGGATATTGAGAAAATAAGGTTAACCACTGATTTGTGGAAGTCCAAGAACCAGAAAATTGAGTATATGGTGATCACAGGGCACTGGACTGATTGTTCTTGGAAGCTACAAAAGAGGGTCTTGAACTTTATCAATCTTCCTCCACCTCGAAGAGGTATTGATATTTTGGACGCTCTATTCAAATGTGTCAAAGAGTGGGGCATCGAGACCAAAATTTTTACAATTTCGGTCAACAATGCCTCAGCTAATGATGTGGCTGTCCGGTTACTGAATGAGACGTTTTCGAGGTGTAAGCCCTTAGCTTGTGGTGGCAAAATTTTTCATGTTCAATGCTATGCTCATGTGCTGAATTTGATGGTGCAATATGGTCTCGGGGAGATTCTAGACATAGTAGAAAATGTTTGTGACAGTGTTGAATTTGTGGGCCGAAGAGAAAGTCGACAAATTTTATTTTCAGAAATTGTGCAGCAGCTTCGACTCCCGGGAAGAAAGCTTATTCATGATTGTAGGACACGGTGGAACTCTACATTTGCGATGTTGAACTGTGCAATCAAATTCAAAGAGGTTTTCCCAATGTATCAAGAATGAGAAGTACAGTATTATTGCTGTCCATCCGAAGAAGATTGGGAGAAAGTTGAAAAAGTATGCAGCATTTTAGAGACATTTTGGGCAACTACGAACATCATTTCAGGTAGTGACCATCCAACTTCAAATTTGTTTCTTCAAGAAGTTAAAAGAATAAAGCTAGTTTTGAATAGTAGGGCTAATGATGACGATGATTTTGTAAGAGCAATGGTGAGAAAGATGAAATTCAAATTTGATAAGTATTGGGGAGAATGTAATCTATTAATGGCTGTGGCTGCTGTCTTAGATCCTCGACAAAAAATGACTGCTATAGAATATTGCTTTCCTAAACTTTTTCCCCCTAGTGAAGTTCAGTAAAATATTGAAAAGGTTAGAAATGCAGTCTTTGAATTATACAATGAATATTTGTAAGCAAATGAACTACGTGAGGGTGGAAATAGAAAGGATTCTCAGGTTCCTTCAAGTAATGTTTCTCAAAGCAGTGCTTCTGGTTCGGGTTGGGATGATTTTGATGAGTATGTGAGGGAATATCAAACTGGAGCACCTCAAGAATGTGAATTACTTATCTATTTGGAAAAGGGTCCAATCAAGATTGATTCAAGTCTGCCACGACATGAATTTAATTGTTTGAATTGGTGGAAGAATAGCAGGCTCACGTTCCCAATTTTATCCAAGATGGCAGCTGATATCCTTGCCATTCCTATTACTACAGTTGCTTCTGAGGCTACATTTAGCGCTGGAACAAGAGTAATTGTCTCTTATAGAGCCTCACTAGCTCCTGAAACTGTAGAAATGCTTATGTGTGCCGGAGATTGGTGCTGAAACATTCATGGAGTGAAAAAAAAGATAAAAGTAAGTTTATTTCAAATTCATGTTATTGAAACAAAATTAGTTTATTACTTATTGTTATTGTTATTGTTATTATTATTTTGCAGAAATTGAAGGCAGCAAAAGAGATTCTACTTCCCATAAAATGAATGTGATAATTGGAAAGGTACATTATTTGTGTTTAACACTTCGATTCCTCTTCAAATATCTTGTTTTAGATTTTACCACTACTATTTTATTACTTAAATTATTTTTTTTATAGGGCCTGCAGTTGAAATTGGAAAGTTGGAAAGGATTATTGTGGAATGGACAAGAAGTTGTTGTTTTACTGCTTTAATTGCAAAATTTGTTTCACCTTTTTAAGTATGGTCATTTCTTGACAATTGACATTGCCTATTGAAGACATTCACTTGAATGTTGAGTTGTTGACACTTTGTCTTTGTTGTTTCTATTTGTGTGACTTGGTGGATGTTGGTTGTCTGACTTATCTTTGAATTTGGATGCTGGTTTTGATGTTAAAATATGTATGGATGAATTTGGATATTGGTTGACAACATGGCATTAGGCTGCTAAATTTTTGACAGTTTGATACTTTGGCTTTAAATTGATATTTAAAGCTGGCTTGTCGTAGATTCTCAATCATATGGATGAGTTTGGACTTTGGACAATGCTGTTTGGTGATTTGGTTCAGATAAAAGGCTGAATGAAGGACAAATTCTGCTTAAGGATATTGCAGATTGACTTATTTGTGTTCTGTGTCCAGACATTAGATGTATGACTTTAGCCTTAACATGTAACAAATGTCAAGGCTAAAAAGGATATTGCAGTCTGACTTATTTGTGTTCTGTGTCCAGGCATTAGATGTATGATTTTAGCCTTAACATGTAACAAATGTCAAGGCTAAAAAGGAATCAGATGAATATGATTTTGTCTGACTAACAAGATATCTCTACTGTCCCTCTTTGTGCTGCTTGAAATATTGATTACTAGAGTAGATAGTTTGAACGACATATTTTAACAATAACAGGTTATGCAGTTACTTGGTGTATAAAAAAGTCCTGCTCCAAGATTCAGTCAAACACATTTTAATATATCTGTGTTAGTTATTAACGTTTTTGTGTTCTTTACCCCTTTCATTGTATTGCAAAATGTCGTTGATAGAGGAGTATCTTTGTATAGATCATTTGGTTCAGCATTCAGCAGGCTTTAAACGAGCACAATTTTAATGGACCTTCAAGCTCGACCACAATTCGAGCAATTTCGAGTTCGAGCTCGACCACAATTCGAGCAATTTTGAACACGAGCTCGACCGCTCGAACTCGAGCTCGATCGCAATTCGAGCAATTTCGAATACGAGCTCGATCCTCACGAATTCCTTACGAGTCGAATTCGAGCATGTAAAATTAATATTCGTCGATCTCGAGCTTGATCTCGAGCCTTAAGTACTTTGTCGAACTTGAACTCGATCAAACTAATATTCGAGCTTGATTCGATTCGTTGACACTCCTAACTAGATCTGCCAAAATTCATAGCTTCTATAGCTTGCACTAACAATTAAACACTGATTTCCTCATAGGAGTCCTAACCTCCAAGCTATAGGGCCGCGATCACACTTTACTTGTACCGCTGATGAAACTAGAGTTTGCACAAGAATAGTTGACTCCAGAGTCAATTAATAGTGTAGTTAAATGATTTAATCTGGTAGTTCAAAACTTGAATAGGAAGATAAATTTTCAATAGAAAACTAAGGTTACCAAAATCTTCAGACTCAATACGTCCAAAACCATTTACTGGCATTCAATTTTCAAAATTAACAATTTTAGAAATAACCTGGTTTCTTTTGTCCCAGATGACCAATAAAATATATTATATACATATATATATATATTTTTTCAAATCAAGTCAGTCGTAATATGCGAGATAAAATCGAGGGTTTTAATGCATTTTGGATATATATGTGGCAAAATGCGATTCGAAATTTCAAAATTAGAGCTAAAAGATACAAACTTTTCTTCATAACCCAAGACTAAGTTTTCTTAGTAAGAAACTTCAGATAATGTTTTTGCCACCGTCATTAATACATATTTCAAATTCCTCAACTACATTTATGAAGTTTAATCATGTGACTCAATGCATGGATATTAAAACACATATATAATAAAACAACATATACTTGAAGGATATTTCAAAAAATAAAATTTCCTCAAAGTTTTGAGTTAAGAACTGCGTTTGAATAAACGTATATTCTAGAAAACATTTTTAAGAGAGAAAGTGCTTTTATTTAAGTAAAATAAGTTGGTGATGAGTTCAAGTCACTTCCATTGAAACATGCAAATAACCAACGAAATACTTTGGAAGTTCAAACATTCATAAAAGGTTGAAACATGTCCACAGGACCAATCACAAGATACGATAAAACAATTATTAAAATTTCACAGGGAAGTACCTCACCAGGTATCTAACTAGGTCAATCCTTTATAACACCGGTAGGTCTAATTTTCTCGTTCGTTTCTGACTCATATCAAACACTTGGATCCTATTGAGTTACATAGGACCATCCATCAATCTTTCTCTACCTCTCTCTCTTAGGCTCAACTAAATTCCACTTCTCTTTGGTCAATATTGTCCCATACTCGATAAAAATATTTTCCGTCCGATGTCACATTTCTCTTACAACACGAACTAGAGTCTATTGATCTCTTGCACATGCTCTCACAAAACAGTAGTCCGTTCTTGTTCCCCGCAAATGAAGATCTCAAGTCCTTAGCATTTCCCTCAACTCTTAAATATTCGGGTATAAGAATCCGAAATAAGATAATTCACACCTCAAGCCGGCCGGTCCCAAGTGTAAATCACCACATTTGAGATTCCTACCCAACATACATATATAATTTTTCCCAAATATCAAGATAAAGGGTTTAGACCTATCATATTCATAATTTATAGTTTACGCTATAGAAGAGCACTTAACCCTTTACTCATTCACATCATAAGGAGCGTAACATCCCTTGGCTCAAACTCACCCTGCATAGAGACCACACGAAACGGCTCTGATTTTTATCCCTACAAACGGTCACTTAACTTCCAAACCAATCCCACAGTCCGGCATCATAAACTTTTAAGTCTAGGATACACTACAAAGATCAGAAACCTAAACTCTGACGCCCCCACTTCTCCCAAGGGCGAACCCAAGGGTATCCGCAGAACGCCTGCCCAACTCTCGCCAAGACTCGGTACTAATTCAATTTAAACTCAATAATAACCAAATGATACTAAAAATTGAAGAGATAAAGGAAGGTCAATTCCTTAATAAACGTTCAAATCTTACATCATAATCTACCTAATTACTTTACATTTCCAAAATATACAGCTTCCAAAACCAAATTCCAAACAAATACATTTACAATTCTAATCAAATGAAGCATCAAGTAAGCTTCTCCAGAATTCCTCCCATTTTAGCTCTTGTTAAGGAAAACATATCTAACGGGGTGAGCGGATGCTCATGAGGCTAAGAAAACATGCAAGACAAGTAATTCAATAGTAATAGCACTTACACAATAGTGAAAACTATAACATTCGAGAAATTCACAATTTATATTAAACCCCCCTTGAGTAGGATGTAGGAGCTCTCAGGAGCTAAATCTTTACTTACTTTGCCCAAGTTCAATTCAATACCTTCTCGTGACGACACCCCGTCACCCGGGTAGATAATTAAATTCATAGCACTTTACGTATTCCATTTATATTTTTGAGACGACTCGAGAGGCACTTCCCATCCAAATCGGTGTGGTACTTTCTATCGCTCAGTTTATATGTCTGAGACGATTCGAGAGATACCTCCCACCAAATCGGTGTGGTACTTGCTATCGTTCAAAAGTCGATGAGACACCGCTCCAATCGATTTAGAATGCTTAATGGTTCTGAAACGACTCGAGAGGTACCTCCCACCCGAATCGGTGTGGTACTTGCTATCATTCAGAGGTCGATGATACACCGCTCCAATCGAATTAGAATGTTTCATGGTTCTGAAACGACTCGAGAGGTATCTCCCACCCGAATTGGTATTGTACTTGCTATCGTTCAGAGGTTTAGGGTACTGAGACGACTCGAGAGGTTCCTCCCACCAAATCGGTGTGGTACTTACAATCGGTCAGTGGTCGATGAGGCATTGCTCCAATCGACTTATGCAGCCATAGCATAATTAATCATTTAATTTAATCATTCAATACATTCAATCATTCATTTCATTTCAATCAAGTTATTCACGATTCATTCATTTCATTTCAATCAAGTCATTCATTATTCATTCAAATGAGACCGAGTGTGGTAAGGTGCACACTCGACTCAGTATTTTCAAAATCTCCAATCACTAATAACAATTAAGCACATATCAAGTTTACATACATTTGACACTCATCAAGTAATTCAAGAAGCAAGCACAAGCGATTGTTTAGGCGTCTTTCGTGAGATTCTCTTGAAGGTATAATGAACTATTACACACTATCGCTTAAAATCCCTAATTATCGAGAAAGATTGTATTCATGTATAATCTAAGAAGATGTCATGGAAATTAGCCTTAATTACTCGTGAATCGAGATTCAAAAGTAGCGTTTTAAATAATACAAGGAATTCTGATTTTCATTTTTGAAATCAAGTGTAAAATGGTCAAATGATATCGAAGGAAAATGGAGAGTTCGAAAACCTCAATTTCCTTTAAGTTTGGAAAAATTCAGATTTGACCAGCAATTTTTGAAAAATCGTATCTCACTCTCTGTAAGTCAACATTTGGAAAATTTGATATCGTTGGAAACTATTTCCAAAGTACTAAAAGGTCCTAGAAGACACTTTTTCATGATTCCAAATGGATGACATTCAAATTTTGGGTTCAAAATGTTGTGTTTGGAATACCACGACAGTTTTGGGTTGATTTTTGGTAAAGTTTGGAAATTCGGCAAAATTCACACAATGCGGACTAGCTTCCGAAATTCATAACACAATAAGAAGTTCAAACAAGGTTTCAAACAGGACAAACGGAACTAAATTCAAAGTTTTGTGCATTGATATATAATAGTTTGAAGTCGGCTGGAATTTGGGCACAAATAAGAAATTTTCCAGATTTGAAAAGCAAACTTTGTAGCATCATTTGGATATCGAAAGGTTGTTGAAATAACACGAAATTTTGTAAACTTAAACCTCTACATGTGGAATACCCCTGTATAAAATTTCATACGAAAACTTACGTGGGAAGGTAGTTGTCAAAACGACTGAAGTTCGTAAAATGTTTCAAAGCCAATCTGTCTTCTTGCTTTCCTTTCTTTTCAAAACATTTTGCACAATGAAATCAGTCCCATTTC